CATGCCAGTTGTCATAATTGGTGTCAGTATCTGTTATCTTTCCACCTTCATTATAGACACAAAAATGTCCTCCGTGACAATTTGGGAAGTCTCGTACTAATCCACATGAGGAACCACTGTGTGTAGAGCTTATATAATGGTTTAACTAAAGCTCAGAAGCTCCTTTCTCTGTGTTGCAGGAAACTCCTCTTTCTCATCACATCTGTGATTGTCTTTGACTCTGTTTTGTACACATACATGTGATGCGTATAATTTTCTCTCCCGTGGGAAATGGGATGGATATCAGAATACATTCACTTCTCTATTGTGTGGGTTAGAGTTAGGACTTAGAATGCAAATAAAACCACCCAAAAAAATACAGGGTTGTGCTTTGTAGCTTAATGACTTGTATCAAAACAGAGTATCAAGTACAGTTTATCACAGTGGTCTACAGTGCCCATATTATACAATAACTGAAACAAAGAACGAAAGGAGTGCTGCAGGAATGAGTCTGAAACCCAGAAATGAGTTGCTGTTCTTGCACTTCTGGTTCCCTCATCTCGAAGTCAGTGTTTTTTGGGGGGATTTTCACATTTGGTTCTGCAGCATTCAAATTTGTCACAAAGTACCCCACTTGTAAATTTTGCAGCTTTTATGTGTCTTAAATAAGGCAGTTGCTAACAAGTGGCTTAATGAGATTACAAGTGTTGTCGGGGACATTATACGTCATCTTACCAAACACGAGTTCAGTGGTTGTGACGCTGAAGTCATGCGACCGCGGTGTAGTTTGTTCACAGCTTAACGTTAGCTTTTTACTTGCCGATTGCACTGATGCTTAAAAAAAATCATAAAACTTGGGTTTATTTGTGAAGATTATCTTGCTGAACATCTGTTACGACATAAAGATACATCAGTATCAGTGAACTTTGAAGCTTCTATGTGTCTTGAAAAAAGAGGATAGCTAACAAGCGGCTAAATGAGACTACAGAACATCATCATGCAGCACCGCGCCAAAAATGGCTTTAGTCTTGATATGGTTGTAACATTAGGTCATGCAGGTGGCATGGTGATGCAGTGGTTCGCATTGTGGCCTCACAGTAAGAGGGTTCAAACCAGGAGATGGGGGAACCCCTTTGTGTGGTGTTTGCATGTTCTCCCCGTGTCTGTGTGAGTTTTCTCCGGGTGCTCCAGATTCCTCCTACAGTCCAAAGACATGCAGGTTAATTGGTGACTCTAAATTGTCCATAGGTGTGAATGTGAGTGTGAATGGTCTGTCTCTATGTGTCAGCCCTGTGATAGTCTGGCGACCTGTCCAGGGTGTACCCTGCGTCTCACCCAATGTCAGCTGGGATAGGCTCCAACCCACCGCGACCCCCAGCAGGAGTGGTTACGGAAAATGAATAAATGAGTGAATTAGGTCATGCAGTATAGCCTAATGTTAGCTTTTTACTTCTGGTAATTGCATTTATGCTTCAAAAATCGCAAAGTGGTGTTTGTGAAGGTTATCTTGCCAAACAAACGTGTAAGTATATATCATAAACTTTTGTTTGCCACAGATCTATTTTCTACAATAATCCAAAATCCAGTGGAAAAATCCCATTGGCTTTTTGCCTAAGATACAGGGACGGACAATTGTTCTGAAGCCCTAGTAATCAAAAAAATGTACCACTGGACCTGAAGCTCATTTGTCAGATGTCTTGTTTTCTCAAAATCAAGCCCTGCTCTTCCACTAATTGGCTAGTAGTCATTGCCTTTGTTGGTTGGGTTAGGTCCGATAAGGTTGTTCAGCAAAATAATTAGCCACATGCTTCTGTTTGGGAGAGTGCTGTCTGAGAAACAGCCCTTCAGAGCGATGCTCATTTGTTTTCAGGATAGAAGGCTGTCGGACAAATTAGACATTTTCAGACTATTGCGGCTTTGACATTATGAGCCATTGGATCAATGGCATGGCACCGAGGGGACCAAAGCAATGCTGCTTCTTCTAGGTTGGCCTCATCTTTCCACCACTCCATACAGACGTGGACATAAAACACACAAACTAAATGTCCATCAACAGGAAACTGAACATTTCCATGGGCATCCTAAGTGCTATATTGTAGGTAATTGGACTTGCTTGAGTTTCTTGGAAGACGTTTCACCTCTCATCCAAGAAGCTTTTTCAGTTCTAACTGGCTGGTGTGGAGTCGCAGGCTTTAAACCCTGTGTGGGTGTGAACTATTACAGAGTCGTTGAGGTCATATGTGAGTCGTTGACCCACCCGGCCATCATGCGTGTCATTTCCATAGGAATTAATCCAGTGGTACTCTGTGAAAGCTCTCAGGATCATTTTGCTAAATAGATGAGATGAGTCCTGTCTTTGTATTTATTGCCACTTTGTGTTACACCAGAATGGATTCAAATGAAAAACGTTTCTCTTTTTATGAGTAATGATTAGAAATGACATTTATGATACTGGAACTTAATGTCCCAGTGAATTGACTGTATGGGAACTCCTAGAAGTTCACACAGTCTTGTACATTGTATCTGTAATGTCTGACTAACTGTATATTAGCATTAGCAGCAGTAGAAGTAGAAATTTAAAAAGTAATAACTTTGGCAGCCCTTTGAGCAAAGATAAATGTTACTGTCTATTTGTTTTCATGGTGCAGTAGTACAATGAATGATGTGCTTATCTCGACTCTCATCAAGTGCAGCAGTTGTCGATACTGGATTCAAAACTGAACCTGTGTTCATTTGTTATTTCACCTTTTAGTGAATCTAAAAGTAAAGAGAGACAGTTGTCTTTCCTCTTGGGGATGATCCTCCACCAATGTGCCCAAAATTGATGTATCACATTTCTTCCATTTGCACCAGCTAGAAGAAAATGTTGGCACTGTACGGTATTGCAGACCACAAATTTGTTAACTGTGCATGTTTCATATCTGTCATATCAACATTTCTAACATTACATTGTAGATGAGCTGACTTTGGTCAGTGGGAGGTAGAGCGGATGGTGAATAGCGTGTCACCCAGAGCAAAAACACTGCCACGCTGCAAGCAACAAAACCCATTGTGTTTTAGCGAGGTGCTGCAGTTTTACAGCAAGTTTTTACGTATCAATAGGTATCAAACACGAGGGGTTTTTTCCCCACCAGGACTAGTGCCATGAAAAGCACTTTTTTCTGGAAACATCACTGTGTTTCCTGCAAGCATAGTGCCACGAAAAGTGGATTTTATTTTTTTTTTTTTTACTGAAACATCTCTCCATTTTCTTCCATGAAAGTGCGACAAAAAGTGGTTGTTTTTATACCAAGACATTGCTGCATTTCCTGCCAGGATAGTGCCACGAAAAGTGGTTGGTTTTACTAAAAGACCACTATGTTTTTGTTTTGTTTTACACAAAAGTGTGTAAAGTGCAACAAAAAGTGATTGTTTTTTGTCGAGACATTGCTGCGTTTCCTGCCAGGATAGGTTTTTTTGCACCCGCCCTCAGAACACATACAAAACACCACAGAACAACCCGTCTTCTTCTGCATTGGTCTCATTTTGCCACAGGCAGAATACATTTCCATCAAAGCTCATTTTAAAACGTCACTACAGCCTTTAAATACAACCAAACACAAGTTCCCTTTTTATTACATACTTCCTGAAGCAGGCTTGCACATTATTCACCATAGGAATGAAATGCAGGGCCATTGATTTTGAACACCACAGTGGCAGTTCTGGATGCGCTGATATTGATCATTTGTTGAGTAATGGATGGAGAAGTTGGTACGGATCAGACACAAAGGAGGACAAAGGGAAATCTGAAGGGACTCACGGAGAGCAGAAGTGGCTGAGTTGCATACTGAGGAAGACAGTGGGGCTGCACTGTTAATTTACCAAAAGAGCCCTCCAAAGATTTATTGTGGTCCAGTGAAGCATTGGAGTTTCATGTGTGCGTGCATGTGCCAGTGTGGCAGATGTATTTAAGGCTTTCTGCTTGGCCCTCTTTATCCATCAGTCCTGACAGAGTATTAACTGCAGTGCAGTGCCCACTGAGCATGTGCCGGCAAACTGTGAACCCAATGGAAGTCCTCTCAGACAATCCCTCCTACTGCTCTTTTCTTTGGTGTCTCCTCATTTGCCTTTCCCTTTATCCTTTGCCGCCCTATTTTCTTTATTTTCTTTATCTCTTTTCCACCAATCAAAGCAAGCCCTTTCCCAAGTTGCTTCACCTACCAAAGCCCCATCTTCTGTTCTATCTCCGTCATAATCCCTACCCACACTAATTCACACCATCATAACCCTACAGTGCATCACCCTCCAATGCACAATCCTGACATCTCCTGCAGCAACAACAGCTCACATAACCAGCAGCTTATTATATAATGTCATTTTTTCTAAAATACCTCGCCTGGTGGCGAGTGAAGTCTTGCCGTGCACTGTGCAGTGCTTTCAGTCCTGCCACACTACTCTGCTTTGTTACATCTGTGTTCTCCTACCTCCTCTCATCCTGTAAACACGTCCCAGTATCAAGCCTCAGGCACTGGTTCAGCTCACGCTATGCCATCACCCCCCCAAAACTGTAATGAGAGAACTGCTTTCAATCCATTTTTTCCACGGCTCCATCACCTTCTTTTTCACACTTCTACCCCTGCTCACTTTCTGCTCATTGAATTCGCTGCCTGTTCACCCCCGTGAAATGCTCCCCACCACCAAACTCTCCCCCCTCTCTGTCCTGCTCTCCTCTGCCGTGCTCCTGGCTGACTCCGAGCTGTAGCAGCGGTTGCTATGGAACTGCAAATCAGCCATTTAAGCAGTAGCTCTCTAATGGATTTGCAGACAGTAAACAGAAACTGCAGACTGCATCGTTACCTACATCTCTGAAATAAATGACTTTCAACGTGTATACACACACACAGCGGGGACGTTTTGTTCCTGTTCCGAAGGCGGCCCTGTTTTCTTTTTGCTTTAGAGGATGAATTCTCTCTGTCATGTTTATGTTGATGATTCAGTTCCTCATGTTGCTGTCTTTTCTCTCTTTCTCCCCCCCCTAACAGGACTGTATCCAGTTGAACCAGTATAAGCTGAAGAGTGAGATTGGAAAGGTGAGTGTGATGGTTTTCTGCCATCTGTTTAATTTGGAGCAGTTTGGTGAAAGAGCAGCAGCAGCTTGGAGAAGACTGACCCTTGGTTCAGTCTGTCTGTCAAGTGAGAAGATTCGCATTCACAGCATGGGCAAAGTAAAAGTTGAAAGTCGTTTCTATTATTTTGCTTACAGATTATAATATTCAAAGTATATATAAGATATATAAAAGTAAAAATGAAAAAAGTATATATGACCGGGGGGGTGGGGGGGGGGGGGGTTTGTTTTAGGAAATATTCCATTGAAAACCACCTATTCCATGGTCCTGTGTTCTTGATTGAAACTAACATTATAAGAGGCTACTTTGCAATTCAAATTGCAAGCAAATGAAGGGAGATGGATGTTTCAAATGCAGTTTGAATAGTAAATATCCCATCAGCTAACAAGGAGGGGAAAAAAGAAAAAAACTGTCGTACCCGCAAATTTGAATCCGCAAGTTTCAAGCATTAGAACATCAGTAGGCTGTTGGCTGTAGTAGGGTGATATATCTACATATTGAACCAGGGAAACATTGAGCATTTTACCAACAAAAACAGAAAACCCTTTGAAATGTCATGGTTGTATGAGATTCTCATTCATAGTCAGTGTATTACCTACAGTAGATGGCGGTCAGGCAGGCAGCTAAGCTCTCATGAAAGCGTGTGACTTTGGTGAATCCAAACTAACCCTTTAAAACACCAAATTCATACAATAACACAAACAAAATAACTGACTGAGGCAGCGGTAGACCAGCAGCTCCTGTGTTCAGTGATGTTAAATTACTGTTTTTCTCAATGGAGTCTGGCCATGAAGAGAGATATATAACCGCCTCAGTTTCTTGTCAGAAAAGGCTGTTTGAAAGCAAGGTAAAGCGGTAAAAATATTTTAGATATAGCATACACTTAAACTGAAATTGATTATTTTAGATGGATGAAATACGCTTTGCTTCTGCCCCCGTCCACAGCAGTGCATTGCTTAGCTTCCGTGGTGGCACTCCTGCCTGCTTTTCCAAACTGGTGGCGTATCGACCACCATCGACTGTAGGTAACACACTGACCATGGATAAGTACCTCATACAGCCCCACTTAAAAAATCCTAACTATCCCTTTAATTAATCAAATTCAGAGGACATTAATGTGAGGACCACAGATACTCTCCTGACGAAAAGTAGCTAGATTCAGTAATGTAATTTCTTATTTTAATAATAATATTTCCTGCATTGCTGACATCTACCTTTGTACCTGCTCAAGTTTTATTTTTCTAGAAATATTCCAGTCCAATATTCCATATCCTATCAAACTATTAATCAAGACACAGTATAGTGCAGTGGTTCCCTGGTCATTCGTACGAGGTCCATACTGTAATACATTCAGTGTCATACTTGTGTTTGGCCATGTTGTTGAGCTAGTTTGCTGTCTCTGTCAAGTAGCTGTCCGTTAGTCACTAGCTATGTTTCCATCCAAAAGTGATTTGAATCATTGTGAAACGTGCATTAAAAGAAATACAAATCTTGTATGTTTCCATTAAATGTACGGACTTTGGTGAAAACTACGAACTCACGCGAGTTTCCCGCAAAACCGGAAACAAAACAAGTCTCGCATTCTTCTTCTTCTACGTTTTCTGGCGGTTGGCAACCAGCTTGTAAATGCATTACCGCCTTCCCGACCTGGAGTGTGGATATCACCAAGGAGAGAGGTGCGCTACGTCAGTCTTAATTCAAACATAACTGTTTCCATCCCCCATTTTGCGAATCAACATTTTTTCGAATTAACCAAAACCCGGCTAAAGCGAGCGTATTTTAGTTTGTGCGAATCAGGGGATTTTAATTCGAATTTTGGCGTTTCCATCATAATTTTCCGATGCGATACTTCTAGATGCGCATCTAAACAGGCTGATGGAAACATGGCTACTTACTCTACAGCAGGAGACAGTACTTGAAAATAAAAACTCTGTCTGTGCCGGAAATTCACTGTACTTAAAAATAAAGTTGTTTTGTACAACCTTGACATGTTTGCAAGTCATTTGTGGTCGATTCAGAATGGACCCGCTACCCACTTTTGGACTGCAACCCCACCAGTTGGGAAATACTGATCTAGAGCGATGTTAGCAGCTCTGTGAGGCTGTGCTTTGACACTGTGGTGCTTTGGGCTAAATGCTAAACACACTCACAGTGACACCAGGTAGATGTGAAGCAGGTAATGTTTGCAGTGTCCATGAATTTAGTTTAGCATATTAGCACTTTATCATTTGCTAATTAGCAATAACAGAAAGTAAAGCTGAAGCTAAAGGGAATGTGAACCTCATGGAGCTTCCAGACAAAAAGTCACAGGATCACAAAGTCATTAAGATTAATTGTTTGGGGACTATGAATGTCTGTATGAAAGTTTATGGCAGTTCATCAAATAGAGATAGTTCAGTCTGGACTGCAGTGATGGACAAACTCCAAATGTGTGAGTGTGACAAGAACATTAGATTGGATATCGTAAGGAAGAGGAAATAAAAAGCAAAATAACTATATTCAAAATTGGTGACAACAGCATTTGCAACTTCACAGAAGACACTGAGCTGCAGCCTTACTAAATCTGACAGCACACCAGATCGACCCACATTTTGCATTTCAAAAAGTGACGCTTGGAAATAAACACTTTTGTGGTTAACACATGGAGGAATTCAACAGAGATGGAAATGGAAAACTGAAAATCATTTACAGCACACATAAGCAGAGGGTGGTGTTTTTATATTAGCAAACTGCGTTCAAAAGGCTCATTAACAGCAGAGATATTGTTAGATATTAACGAGGGATAAACAGGTGTCAGATTGATTTTTTAAATTGTCAATTTTGTGGTCAGAAGTAAAACAGTGATATCAAACCATCTCTATTAAACAAAATAGAGACTCCACAGGGAACACATGAATGCTTTTGATTTCAGAGGCTTTAAAAACAGAGTCATTAATGTGGCGTTTGTAAAAAGGCATTTGAAGAATTCACACTCTTCTGTGTGTCGACTGAAGCTCACAAATGGATTTGTATCTGTCCATAAGAACACTCTCTTCTAAGAACAAATAAATCCTGAGTCATTTAAGATCAGCCAGCTGGCAAATTTGGCTGTACCAGACATCAAAGGTGATAAAACTCGCTTTAATTATTTATTTATTTTATGTGAGAGTTTGATCAGTTTTCTTACTTTTTTCTTATCAGAGAAGAAACCATGCAAGAAAAAAAGGATTATGATGGTAAACACACACATCCCAGGGCTGTGTGTGTGTGTGTGTGTGTGTGTGTGTGTGTGTGTGTGTGTGTGTGTGTGTGTGTGTGTGTGTGTGTGGGAGGAGCCATTTTGTGCTGCCAAAGAATAAAAATGTTGTGTTTGAATGGAAACTGTGCTGCCTTCAAAACATTCTGTCAGTATGATGCTGCTGTCTCTCTCTCAGAGCGATGCTTCAGGAATTAGTTCTGGGTTTTTTTTTAAATGTAAATCTAAAGCACAAAACATGAGAATGACATTGAATCAACACGTGTTTCTGTGGGTTTACGTATAATAATGAATCTCTTTTTTGTTGTGTTGCAGGGCTCCTATGGTGTGGTCAAACTCGCCTACAATGAGGACGATGACAAACATTATGTAAGTCAACGCAGTCATTTTATGTTTCAGAATCTTTGATAAACGACTGAAAAGCATTCCCTCTGCCTCACCTCCGCAGTTCTCCTCTGAGTTTTCATCAAGCCTCTCAGCCTCTATTGTCTAGACAGAAAAGCTTTACAGGTTCTCACCAGGGCCATTGATTTTTTTTTCTACCTTGTTGCTTAGAGCTGTGAATTCACTCCAGTCACCAGGAGAAACTATTGGCATTGTGCTTTTCTGCAAACCATGAAAACGTTACAATTGTATGTTTTATATGAATCATATCAACGTTTCTAAAGTGGCGTAGTATATGAGCTGAGAGGAAGGTGATGGAGATGAGTCCCAGGTGAGATGCCTGTCAAGCTGCAGACTTCTATTCAAGACCAACAAATAACAAAAGCAGTTGTTTTTTAGTGAGTCATCGTTCATTTTCTGCAGCTCTTCAGCCCCCAAACGTGGGTGTTTTTTAGCGACCTGATGCTGTTTCTCCAGCACCTTTAACTCTAAAACCTGGGCGATTTTAATGCCTCCAATTTTTTGAGCTCCCAAACGTGGGTGTCTTTTAGGGATTTGTTTTTTTTTTCCCAGCTGGGATAGTGCCACAAAGAGTGTTTTTTTTCCACAGGCACACTTGGCTTTCAGCCCAAGAATGGTGGTGTTTCTTAGAGATCCATAGCTGATTTTCCAGCAGCTTTTTAGCCCACATCATGAGTGATTTTTAGGAACCCGTCCATGCTTTTCCAGCAGTTTTTCAGTCCTGAGACTTGGGTATTAATTAGGGACTCGTGTTTTTTTTTCCTGATGGGCTTTGAGCGCCCATCATGGTTGTTTTTTTAGGGAACTGATGTTCTTTTTCCAGTGGCTTTTTGGTCCCAAACATGGGTATTGTTTTAACAACTCTTGACCTGTCACTGCTCTTCCAGCACCTTCCAACCTTGAAACCTGGGTGTTTACCTCTGCTTTTTAGCTGCCAAATGTGTGGGTTTTTTTTTTTTTTTTTTTTTTTTTTAAGGGATTTGTGTTTCATTTTTCAGTAGGTATAGTGCCACAAAAACCTTTTTCTTTCCACAAAGACACTGGGCTGAGTGTTTTTAAAAGACCCATTGTTGATTTTCTAGCAGCTTTTGAGCCCCCATCATAAGTGTTTTTTTTCAGTCCTAAATCTTTGGTGCTATTAAGGGACTCTTTTTTTTCTTTTCCAGAATGCATAGTGCCATGAAAACCAGTTCACTTTCCAGCATTTTTCTATCATGGGGTTTTTTTTAGGGACCTGTTGCTCTTTTTCCAGTCGCTCTTCAGCCCCAAAATTGGGTATTTTTGGAACAGCTTTACTTTTTTCAGCTGGTTTTTAGCCCCCAAACATGGGTGTCTTTTTTTAGGGACCTGTCACTGTTCTTCCACTGTTCTTACCCTGAAACCTGGGTGTTTTTATGCTTCCACTTTTTAGCTCCCAAACTTGGGTGTGTTTTTTTTAGGGACCTGTCACTCAATTTTTGGTCCCAAACATGGGTGTTTTTTGACAACTCGCTCATTTTTTCAGCAGATTTTTAGCCCCCAAAAGTGGGTGTTTTTTAGTTACTTGTTGCCCTTTTTCCAGTGGCTTTTTGTCCCCAAAGGTGAGTGTTTTTTGGGGATAGTGCCATGAAAAGCAGTTCATTTTTCCATTAGCTTTTGAGAGCTCATCATGGGTGTTTTTTGGGACCTCTTACTCTTTTTTCCAATAGCTTTTTGTTACCAAACATGAGTATTTTTTAACAACTTGCTCTTTTTGCAGGAGATTTTAAGCCCCAAAACATGGGGGTTTTTTAGTGACTTGTTGTCCTTTTTCCTGTGGCTTTTTGTCCCCAAAGTTGAGTGTTTTTTTTGGGGTTCTGTCATTGTTTTTTCCAGTGGCTTTTTAGGCACCAAACTTTGGTGTTTTGTAGTGATTTCCAGCTGTGTTTTGCCAGGATAGTGGCATGAAATGTGATTGTTGCTTAAGGACATATCACTGCTTTTTCAGTTAGAATTGTAGCCATGTGTTAACCGCAGCATTTTGGTAAGTAAAGTTTCAGCGCATCTGCTACATAATAACATGCAGATGTAACGTATCCATGGTTTGCATAAACATACAGTGCCAACATTTTATTTTATTTTTTTTGGTGTTTGGGTTGGTGAGTTCCTTCCTCTCAAATTGCATCAGTTGCTTCGGGGGGGGGAAAAAAGGAAATGAAAGTGGTCTCTGGTGCCATTTAAAGTGCATCCAATCCTTTATTGTCTATCTCCAAAGCAGTGCTTGCTTTATGGACCCAGCAGTTGCTTTGAGATTAGTTCAGGAGGGGGAATCTGGATATGAGCCGGCGTGCTGAGACGAGGTCATTTTAGGCGTTCCCATCAAGGTGATTTGTTCCCATAAAGCTCGCCCCCTCCAAATGTAAGCTGTTTCATGTTTGAACACAACTAAGCTGTCCCTCACTGTAGAGTCACAACAATGAAAGTGTTTGGATGAGTCATGTCAACCCTGGATAGGTTTAAGATGTACTTTTGAACTGGAGCCAGTCAGAACTCAGAGCTAAACACAACCCAGTATTAAAATGGCAGCTTGTGAAAGGGCTGATGCTGGATGGTAAACAACAGGAGTTGATGTCAGGACACAGACAAGCCTGTGAGATGAGTGAAATATTATAACAAGCAAGTGCTGGTATCGTCTTTCCCTCTGGAGGGATAATAACATGCAGCTTTAAATAAGGTCGACCTGCAGAGCCGCTCAGACATTCAGCAAGATGCAACCCTGTCAACTAGAATTCTGTTTGTATCCTACAAATTGGCAACAGTAAATACATTTTGTAAGAAGACATAATGCTGCCCAGATCACGTTTTTTTATCAGCATAAAGAGGAAACATTGTTAACTGTCATATCTGGCAAGTGGCAAGCTGTTGATACATGGGCTGAGACGATATGCTTATCTCCTGAATTGATACCATCATGATACTCAGGTGAAGATTCAATATGTACTGCAATTTCAAGTATTGGAATTCAATATTAGTTTGTTGTGATTTTTGTTCACTTCCTTAACACTAGACCTTGGTAAAAAAAAAAAAAGAGTTACATCATACACTTCTCGAGAATGGGTATCATGAGACATATCACAATCAATCTGTTATTTCAGCAGCATTGTACACTGCTCTCTTTTTCTTCGTTTATCAGACCACAGATGAGACAATTCGTGAGCTAGTGCATCCCACAGTCCCTCTGCCTTGTTCCCCTCCACTATAGACTATTCACCAGGTGGAGTGTGGGCAGTAGCTCTGGAGGTTGACCTTTGGTTGGTGGTTCTAAGAACTTAAATTCACTCAGCGCAGACCCCAGTGTCGGTGCTTACAGCGGACTGGTGGCCAGCGGCAGCGCCGGGTCTAACCTGCTAGAAACTTTGCTAGTCCAGCAGTGAGTTGTAACGCTCCACTGGCTGAAATCCCTGCCTCTTAAGCCCTTTGAGTTGACACACTCTGATTCAAGGCTCTAGCTAGCTCATAGACGTAGCCACAGTGACGTCACCCACTGGTTTGTGGACTCCCATTTTGAAGCCAGTTTGGCATTTTTTTCTGTCCGTCACCATCTTGGATTTTTGGAGCCAGGACTGACCATATTTAAACAGGAGGATGGAGCAAACCCTAACGCTGGCTGCTGACTTGTATTTACAGCTATTGTTAACTGTGATAATGCCAATGCTAATTTTGTGCTAGCAAAATTAAAAACTGGCTTAAAATCTTTAAAACAAAACGTACTTACTGGAAAAACTGAATATCCGACTCCTGAGAGGGTCTTTTAGTACAACCAAATGCTGATCATCACTTATTAAGGCGACCAAAAGGTTATGATTAACTTTCATGAACTGAAAACACACTGAAAAATTGACAGCTTTAGCTTCGCCTTTACTCTGTAAATCTGGGGTTACGCCAGATGTTACAAATGACATTTAAACGGGTGAGTTATATCAGAATTCACCCCCTGTACAGCTGTCATGAATGCCGAAATTAGCCATAGAGACCAGGCTGTAAACAGGTTTATTTCTGCTGTAAATTTGGGCATTTTAACACAGATGTTTGGAGCCAGCCCCAAGTGGTCAGTAGAGGAACTGCAGATTTTGGCGGTTCAGCGTTGGCTTAATTTTTCAGTCCTGGTGGTTGCCCTTCGAGCTACATAAACATGAACTTTAAGAAGCCATAGACGTGAGCCTTTAGCTCTGGTTAGCAGGAGGCTAAAATATTAGAAACATTATCTCTCCATCTCTGAAACGTTTTGCTGTTTTGTTTCGTTTATTTTCAGATTCTCTGTTAGACTCTTTGTGGTAAGTCCGTCTCCATTTTTGGGTTGCTTTGCAGCATAGGCAGTTGTTGCCAAGGCTGGAAAAGCAACTTTCTCTGCAGGATTCTCCGTTGTTGAATGAGACTTTCACCATCTGAAGGGACGTACACACGCATCTGCATTTGTAGAACAGCCAATAGAATGCCCTCCCTGTGAAATGACCCGTGATTGGCCGAAGTCGCCTATCACGGGCTGGATATTCTAAAGTCTGAAAACGGAGCCAAGAAGAGGTGCAGAAGTCTAGTGATCTCTCAGACAACTTGAATTACAATATGCTGTATCATGGGATTTGTGCCCACTGACGCCAAAACAAAACTGCCTGCCTCAGCTTTAAGGTGAAGGTTTAAAACTATACTAATAATCTTTATATTGTACTCCTTTAATTTAACACATAAAGGTAATATAACTCAGGATGGAGCCCTGTAAATTTTGTTGCACCCTCCTCCTCTGTAATAGTTTAATGGCACTAATGATTGGAGAATTAGCTCCACCCAAGTCCCTAGTGTTCATGTAACAGTAGTGGATGGGAACGCATGAAATGTTAATTAACAAAGTAACTTTTTTTTTTTTTGCAGATTTTCTTGAAATTTGGTTAAATTTTGCACTACATGTGGATGAAAGCCTGACTAAAGTGCTCTGTTGTACACCCTCCATC